CGACAACAGCGGAACTCGTAGCAATATGGGGAGCGCTTGAGACAATTAAGAATATTGAGCCAGCAGGAAAAGCGGTTGTCCTAACTGATTCAAAATCTGCGTTGCAACAACTTCAGCGTGTTGAAAAACCTACACCCCTCGTGGCTAGACTAGAGGCTGCAACGGTAGAGACCTCGGATGGACCCTCGCCATGCAGTGGGTCCCATCTCATGTCGGGATTCCCGGTAATGAGAGAGCGGACACTCTGGCAGCCAAAGCCCATGACGACCAAGACCCAATCTTTCTGCTCGATCGTTTCAACGAGGCACATCGACTGATCCGTAGCTGCCTACGGATCAGTCGATGCGACTTCTGTAGCTGCCTACAGAAGTCGCATCCTCATCCAGGAGTGGCGACGAACAAGCCGCCTCCAAGCATTCCCCGCATCATGCAACGAGCCGACGCTTTACTCCTGCACAGACTTCGAGCTGGATGTCCATATAAGGCTAAGCGGCTTCACAGGATGGGCCATAAGGAGGACCCCAGCTGTCCAGAGTGCGGTGACCCAGAAGATGCCGAACACGCCCTTCTGTGGTGCCCCGCCCATGCGGAGCCAAGAAGAGCTCTTTTTCAGTTTTACGCCTCTGAAGAACTTTCAAGAAACAGCATGGAGAAACTTTTGAACCCTGAAGGATTACGAGGGGTAACAGCAAGAGCCTTCCGCGCACTTTTTCGTTTTCTTCGGGAAAGCGGCCTTGCAGATAGACTTCGATTACTGCTCGGAGGTGACCATTGTCGCCACTCTTGGAGCACCTCACTGGCCAAACGAAAGAGGCCCCACAAAGCAAATTTGCGACAGGTTCGTGGCGCGCTTCGCCCAGTGGCGCACGCTTCAAGCACGGTGCCGCAAAGTAAAGCGAGCGCCACCGGGAAATGTGCGTCGTTTGTTTTTCGCGGGTTCACTTCATGGGGAGTGAACCCGTGAGCGAAACATTAGGGCTACAATTTTACATTAACCTGATTTTTTATTTTGTATATTTCTCTCTTCCTCTTTCTGTCCCTTTCCCAGATCCACCAGGTAGCGACTCGCCCCATGAACGGAGGCCCACACATCTCCTGGTGCCCCCTTCTTCTCGTCACCCCAAAAATAAACAAACAAACAAACAACCGTGCATTTGTGACCGGAGTTGGAACCTTCGGGCGTTCGCCGCTACTCGCCGAGAGATGGCGTTCTCGATTGCGGTACTCTGCTCCGAAACCCGACGACCTTGAAGATGTAAGTAGTCCGGGGCGCAATAACACATTGCGCAATTTCAAGAGGTAGTATTAGCGACACGCTCATAGATGGCGCCAGCTGACAGCTGGATTTCTGGCATTTTTATGATCACAAACTTAGTTAAATTTTACCGCAATGAGAATCTCTGGCAAAACGATATTGTAAGAGATATATTCAAAAAGTCTTGGTCTTCGATATTGTGGCGCCTGAATTTGTATTTAGGCCCTGGTCTATTTTTAAATGTCCATGAAGAACGGAACGAAAAAAGGGCCCTTACAAACAAGTTTAAGTTCTCATAAAACAATTTTAACATATAGATCGGGAAATGTAGCGCTACAATATTACTCAGTTTTTTTATCAACTTTATAATAAAACCATTCCCAATTCAATCCGTTCGGTGGTTGCTGAGAAAAAAAAAAAATACCAAAAAGTTGTCATTGGAATTGCATAGGGCTGGGAGCTGCGATATCTTCTTAAACGTGCAGCACCCGGAAAAGGCTGCTGCATTTCTTTAAAGTGTCTCATTTCAACCATTTTTGCTGCTATTTGTGCAATTAAAGAGCTGCGCAGTGGTGAGGCATGTTGACTATGAAGCTAAGCCGCGAGAATAGCTCCTTGTAAAGGCCCTTTTTTCGTTCCGTTCTTCATGAACATTTAAAAATAAACCAGGGCCTAAATACAAATTCAGGCGCCACAATATTGAAGACATAGACTTTTTGAATATATTTCTTACAAGATCTTTTTGAAGGAAGAAGGCGTCCGACACGGATGGTGGCTGATGGCCGTACTCCTTTATATAACGGAAAACATAAGGGTCAAAAGCCACGGGGATGCAACCCTGACAACACGGGCGCAATGCTGGACAGTGGCGCCACCTAGGTAGTGTATATAGAAACTGCGATAAATTTAAATACAACACCTTTCCTTTTCTTAAAAAAATAATTCTCATATTCTTCCCTTTCTTAGAAAAAATGAATAAACTCTCTTCCCGAAAACAATGAGGGAAGGTAAAAACTAATGCCAAAATGCAGGGCAGTTGGATAGGAAGTTCACTGAAAGGAAATGACCTCTGAAAACTCTATGTCAAGACATTGGAAAATACGAAATGAATGAAAAGGAAAAGCACGTCGCAATGACATTTGCGGAAAGCACTACACTGGAAGAGCTCCGCTGAAGCAGTAGACAGAGTTTAAAAAAAAAAAAAAAAAAATTCACTGGATGTTCACATATACATGTCCTGCACTTGTCCGTAAGAACTGCTGCCGAAAAAGTTCACCAAAAAAGTAGTCTTTCAGGAGCTCTGGCAGCAGCCGGGCTCGATGCGGGCGATTCCAATATTGTCCTAACCGTTTCCATATATTTATTATTCACGTCCATATAATTTCTGTTTTCTTCGAGGTAAAAGTTGCAGGTTATTAACTATCCTCGTTGACTGAAAGGGAAACCCCAACCTAGCACCTTTGCGTTATTCTTCCCGGCGCTCACGTAAGGATCACCTCTATCCTATCTAGTTGGGAATGGTCCGCCGCGATGTTTATGGTTTCTCACAAAACAATAACCACATTTTAAACTAATTTTACATCTAATCACTATATTTTACCTCTAATCTTAATGCACTAACTCAGCACTTTCCACCAGCAGTCGTTGATGAAAGCCCTTGGATTCAAGAAGGATCGCAGGAAAAACTGGAGATATCGCTTGTTTCGAGCTTACAGCGCCGCGTAGTGTGCAACGAGGATGCCAACCGGCAGTTACGGTCGCCGACCGCTGAATAAACGCGGGACAAAGAATATGTCATTCAGTAGGGGACGTTGTTGGGCTAGTGGGTTCATCTTAGTTCAACATATAAAATAGCGCAAAAAAAGACAAGGACAAGAAGTATACAAGACAAGCGCTAACTTTCAACTAGATTTTACTCAGGAAAAGCAAGCATATATATACACACACGACAGGCAAAGCAGCACCACATAAAAGTTGACTAATTTTGTGCACGACCATTAAAAAACTGAAACTCATTACTATGAAGTACAATAGAAGTGTCGCTGACACATGCCGTCCATCTTTTTTTTTTTTTATAAAGAATGCTTCCAATAGCTCTTGAGCGACCGTCTCTTGCCGTATGACGTTCCTTGCTTCCTGATTGGTTTTTCGGATATTATAATCGGTTAACGCCGCAACCTCATTGGATAAGGAGCGCTAATGAGATGCTCAGGATCCGCTACGCCCTGCGTTTCTTAACTTGTCGGCGATTAGAGTTACTCTAGATATTAACATCGCGTATTATTTTTAACTATCATCTTTAAACAGGTAAGCGTCACCTTTCATTTCACTTCTCAGTGTTTCGAGTGTTTGAAATATAAATTCGGTAAATGTAACAACGTTGGGTCCTGTTCTAAATTGGGGACGAAGCGCTCCGTAAAACTATCAATTATTCCGAGCGTTTTCCTGCTACCTAAATAATGGACGGCGAGCGCTGCCCTCTGGACTATGAATCGTATATCATTATCGGCGAGGCAGGAAAGTCGTACCAGAAAGAGAAGATATCATCGAGGGAATCCTTTAAATCTTGCTCGTTTGCAAGATTGCCCTTTCTTTTATTTTAAAGAAATTAATATCAAAGAAACACCGAGCGAAAATGATAAGAATGGCAAGTTGGCGTTGATCTGATAACATTACTTGTGTTTGACATTTATAGTAACTTGGTAAGCCCAAGACAATAGAATAATAATGATTAAAAAAAAAAAAACGGACAGAACAACGAAGTTTTGAACACTGCTGTCAAGCACTAAGCTGTGTTTAAAACTTGGTTCTTCTCTACGTTCCTTTTATTATTCGACTGTCTCGGTTTGACTGTGAATATCGTTCACCAACTCGCCAGCATTTTTTTTTCTTTTTTTCACTTGTGTTTAAACTTATGTGCTCCTTTTGCAGTCGTCTAAGACTCAAAATGCGAGACATCCAGAGATTTAGCCTCTACATAGCAGCGGTTACATAGTGATTCGTAAGCGTACACAAAAGTACGATGCATAAATTTACTACCTACAGCTTCAAGTAAAGGTTCTGTAGCTATTAACACCGCCAAAAGTGCATCGTCAGCCGCTCATTGTCTACGTGCGTTGGCTGTCACAAGCCAAACCAGTCATGTACAGTGAATGCGCCGTAATCATGCGTCTTTTTCTATGCGGGATGGGTTTAACCGGGTATAGCAAACACTTGAGGACTATGAGCTCCGTGACGTCACACTTTTGGCTCAGCTTGATTGGCTCCATCGGATTCTGGCGGAAGCTGCGGTCGGATCTGAAGTGGAATGGAGCATGGACGCCATTTTTTAAATAACGAAATGACACGCAATAAGATTACTTTATTTCGAGGATCCGCGTAGCGTAGCTATTCATTAGGCCATACCGAAAGCAACCGAGTATACGCTCATGCACAACATTCCCGAAAAATATAAACCTTGCGTTCGCTGCACACGTCATGTGAAAGGAGCTGAGTCGGCCAATTTGAAAAATATTTGGGTTTACGGAATTGGCGTATACACATATAAAGACATGCATTCCATTTATTCCCAATCAGATGCCTGCTTTAAGCACCAGTTTATCATTGTCAGAGTGCTGCAATTGAACCGAACGTACCTTGCGTTCAAATCTTTCAAGTGGGAAATAGCCACTTCACGAACTGAAGAAAGTGTTATGGCTATAGATTCTGTTTTAGAATTTGAGGAACTGTCCGGCCTTAGTGCATATTCTCGTACGATTCTGAAAAAGAAATATTTTAATTGCATAGAAGTAGGAGTATTCGTAAGCACCGTAGGGCCTCAGTCACACTGCCAAAGCTTCATAATATCCGAACCCTTCGTTCGTTCTTTGATGGCAGCCTGCATCTTCTCGATGTTTTTACGGCTGAAATGCTGCTTCCAATCTCCCACCACTCCCTTGCGGATGATATTAATTTCAGTCGGTTGGCAAGACTGCTGGTTGCTGACGTCCTGGGCCGGTTGAACACGTGGCGAGTTGTTTGTGATACACTCGGTGAGTTCTTTCGGGTTTATCGTCAGGACATTCTTCATAAACTCCACGGTGCTCTTCTCCAGGACCTGCTGAAACACGTCCCCATTTTCTTCGAGCACTCTCTTGTGTTCTCCGCCTAAAAAGTCGGCCAACCGGAGGACAACTTTTTGTTTGTTTCTCTGGAGTTCTTCATACGTGATGAAAAACACGTTTGGGTCTTCTCTGCGGTTGTAGCCAGAAAGAATATGCTCAAAGTAGACGCCAAAACCGACCTTTGCTTCTAGAAAAGCGTCTAGAAAGTCGTCGAATGTCCCGTCTGTGAAATTTATGCGGGTACATTCTCGTACCAGATGGTAGTTGGACACGCAGCAATCCCAGGGGTTCCGTGCCACGTAAATGTACTTTGCTTTAGGGCTGAGGCGAAGTTTGCTGATAGAGTAATGGGTCCGAAGCAATCTGGGGGATGACGTCGACTTGACTTCTATGACTTCGAGGAAAGGCGCATTCTCAAAGGATTCGTTGTACGTTTTCACCGACTCCCCTCTGGACAAGATAAGCTGGATGATTTGCAACACCCAGTGTGTCCCGGATCTTGGATACGACACCTGCAAAAAAAAACAAAAACAGAAAAAATAGTATTTTCGAAATCTTTAGGACAAATTGGAAAAGCGAAATTGAGGCACGCTGGACTTAAGCAGACATGTACACGTCATTGAAGAAAAAAAAGTAGCAAAATACTATTACTCGTTCCTTGCTCAAAGAGTAAATACACGCCGCTTTTCGTCGACGTCTCCTCGGCCTTGGTATAGTATTCTGGCGTTGGTACACGTCAAAATACGCTGAGGCGCCGAGATCTGTTTCGGTCGGATCGCCGAACACGCGCGTATTTACGCAAGCTTTGAGCCGTCGAGGAAGCGCTCGTCCCGACGCCCGCTCAACGTCGGGATTACATCCGCCGAAACGCCCGTAGATACGTCGAAACACGCCCTATGTGGTTGACGGCAAGCAGTGCATCGTACTAACCCGCGGCAGCCGTGACGTCACTACGTCCTTGGCGCCTATTGGTGACTGCAGTCCTCCAACGTTTCATTTTCATCGTATCCCCATCGTTTAGGTGGCTTTTAGATTCGTGTGCTCTACCGCAACTCTGGTTACAGAGAGCTTGCCTGAGCGTTGTCTGTTGTGTAGATAACAACCAGCGTATGCGCAGACTCGGGCGTCAAATGCGGGTTGTCAGGGCTGCCTGCTTCTTGAGGCACTGCCCCTACTGGCTTGCGGTCTGGTGGCTTAGCCTTCCGGGTTTCCTCTGGCATCTTGATTGTCGTGGGCAGAGGGATAGGAACTGTTTTGATGGCAACGTAATCTGCTAGCAAGGACCGTTCCTGACCCAGAATCTTGACCAGATACTTCGAGAGGCTGACACGCCGTAAAACGGTGTCTTCTAACCAAAGTGGATCGCCTAGGAATTCTATCCAGGAACACTTTTGTCCTTGAGGTTGCCGCTGGCTAACTTTGGGTGAAGGATGTTTAACCTCGTGCACGGCTTCCATGACGAGAAGAGTTTGGCTGGCGTCTTACGTGTGGTAGGGCATGGCCGGTGTTGTACCGTTCGAGACTTCCGTCCATCGTTCTTCGAAGAGCTGGCGGATAAGGCTCCGTTTGACCATCTGGACGAGTTGTTGTGCGGCGACTTTCGACGCCGGATCGTAGAGGGGCGTCTCTATGTGCTGCACGGCATTTGTACTGCGAAAATCTGTGAAATCAACAAGCCACAAGCTGGGGAGCGCTGTCTGTCTCAATTTTCTCCGGAAGGCCACAAGGAGCAAATCATGCATGTGCGCAGTATTTCCACATTCATTAAGGCCTTGGTTGTGACGATAATAGTCCCTGGAGAAGGGGAACAAGGAGTAAGAAGGACAAACACGCATCTTGAAAAACAGCTAGGCGACTGGTGCGCGACCCGGAAAAATTCGCCTGGTCCTGGTATTGAACCAGGAAGCTCTCCGTATCCAGAGAAGCACTCTGACAACCGAAATAACCAGGAGATAGACGTCAGTAAAGCAAATGAGTTGTATCAGCTGCCACCAGTCTAACACCAACAAGGATGAACGGCCTGCATTTTAAGGTTATGACAATAGTCCAATTAATGCAAAGGTACAAGCGAGCTGGAAAAAAAAATAATGATAATAATCCCTGGATTAGGTGCAACAAGGAGAACAAATGGCAAACATAAATCTTTAAAAATAGCTTGATTACTTGTGCGCGACCGAAAAACTTCGCCTGGTCCTGTTGTCCAGCCAGAGAAATCTTGGCTGTATTCAGGTGGAACACATCAATTCACTTTAAAAATGCATCCACAAAAAAAAAAAAAAACATCTTTATTGAAGTACGAGAAACCCAGATGGACTCTTTGCCGTCGTTTCGTTGACCATCCCCACGAAAACGTTTGTACGCACGAGACTGCATTCTGAGTGAACTGGCAAATGGCGCAGCATTTTACATTCTCTAGCTTTCATTCGTTCGCTCAACTTGGGCCACCAAACATGACTTCTGAATAGCATTCTCATCTGTGTAGCTCCCGGGTATCTTTCTAGCAAATACCGTAACACTTCCGACTGCAGTGACTCAGGGTTGACTACTTTGTTTCCCCATGTGAGGTAATCATAACCTACAGGAGCTCATCTTTGCGAAGGAAAAATTGTGACAGCTTGTCGTTTGTAAATTTTGCAGGCCCATCCATTTAACACAACAAAACATCACCTTCGACCAAGTTGCGTCTTTCCTAGTATCGGCGCGTTTGTTACCAGACCGACTCAGGCATTTCTTACACTTCTTAAAAGAAGTCACTTCTTACTGTGATGTTTCGAAGCGTCAATCGCGATAGCGCGTCAGCGCTTGCAACTTGCCCTTCTTTTCTGTTGACCCATTTGTAACTAAAAGCGGCGAGTACGCTCTAAGAAAAAATGAGAGAAATGGTAGCAACGGCGCATTTTCCTACTGACCCGCTTCCAAGCCGACACGAGAACGAAGGAGGAACAAGACGTTTTTCTCCTTCTCTAGGCAGACGGGAAAAAGGTTGCGCCCTCCCGCCTAATCTTCTTTCGGTTTCCTTTCCCAGTACAAACGTGCAGAACATTTGGGTTGCATTGACATTTTTACCATTAATTTAATTAAACAAGCAAACGAAGGCGTTAGAAAGAGTGAAGTTCAGGAGCAGTGCCAGCTGCGCTACGTACACTGGGCTAAAATTAATGGCCGCCTCCGGATTGCGGAGCGACGTGTCGATGTTGACGAAGTTTATGGAAACCGCGTAAACTGCGTCCAAGACAGGCAGGTTTTGCTGCCGGGTGTCTGGGTGCCTTCATGTGCTGACTTCGGTTCTGTTTTCCGATGCCGAGTGCCAACCGGCAATCAACGTGGTCCTGTATTTCTGCGTGTCCGCAATATAGCAGCAACATTGCGATGGCAGTGTTGTGCGTTGCAAACGAAGACTGGAATTATCGCCGATGTGACCGTGTGTTCGCGTATCTGTGGTGTAACAACAAGACAAGATGACGTAAATGACGGGCATAGATACCGCTGGTCGGGCCGTAATGGGAGGATGCGGGGTGTCGCAGGTTGACATTTCGCTTTACATTAAAGAGTTTAAGACCGCTTGAGGGATTGCGGTGCAATCGATCGACCTGCGGATAGTCATGTTGGAACGCTTGTTTGAACCGTACCTTCTATCGTACCGTGTGGCCAATGTGACTGTCGCCTGCGATACCCTGTTATCTCCACCAGGAGTGCGATTGCGCTCTGGAGAAAGGGCTGAACAGTATGAAAATATATGACGGAAAATACGTATCTGTACTTCTTTTAATTTTAGCATTAAGGGAAGATGGTAGGTAAAATCGACAAGAAAAAAAAAAAAGCTATCCTTTATTTTGTTGTTTAAATATACGGTTCCCGAAGAAACAGCCCTCCAAATGGTGCGCTGGGATGAGCGCTGGAAGTTTTCGAGCTCACTGCAGCATTGTACCGTACACTTAACCCCTGCCGCAAGTCGTGGCTTTGACCTCATTCAAGTTGATTAAAAACTGCTTTCTCTGCCCGTGAAGCATCGCTTCCAGCTGAGCGAATACCCTTCTACAGCAGACTTGTGCTCGTTACTTGAAAAATGTAATGGATTACAACTACAAATTACCGAGCCTCAAATGTTATGAATTACCGTGTCAACTTTCGTAGTATGCCCCTCTTCATCCTGCGGATCTTTATTACGAGTGTCATCGCAACCCGCTTCAGTATGTTGTTCGTGTATCCCACATCCTTCAAGCGAAGCAACTGATTCTCCACTTACACATGCTTTTGGTGAGAACAAGACTTCTTGAGGGCAGCGTTCAACAATGACACAATTATGAATCTCTTGACCAACTTAGACCAACAGCTCGCCTGCTTAATTAAGTTGTGTTCACTTTTAATGCTTTTATGATGTTCATAAAAACAAATAAACTATCATGCGCCTTTCATTAATTTTAACTTCATTATAAAACGATGAATAGTCAACGAATAAATTGATACCGGTTTAACATATGACGCTTGCAATAAAAAAAATGTTTCCAATAAATTTACTATTATGGAAGAAATACCCACATTGTATAATTACCCCAAATATAAGATCAATATTTCGTTAGAAAGAAGAACTACAAGAAAATTGAGAAATAATATTCAACGACTTCGTACATGTGCATAAAAAGAGCGAATACATTTGCGAAAAGGTTCGATAAACTAGAGTGTCTTCTGATCTCAGGCATTAAACAGTTACGTATATGTGTGATTACATTATCGTACCAAGATTTCTGAGTGAACATTCTAAAACTTATCAAAAGAAAGAATAAAAAACACGGAGGACGCTCACGGGCAACCATACTTTTATTCTTTCTATTTTAGGTACTGATAATTGCAACAAGTTCTTTTAGCCAACCTCCTAATCGCGACAACCATTTAACTTATAATTGGAGCACTCACAATACGCTATAGTTCAGATAATTGTCCAGGTGTGGACATGTAATCCCCGAAATAAAAACAAAAAAATAAAAAAAAATAAAAAAACCGTACCTGTATGATATCGCCCTCTTGCGGTTCAAAGGTCGGAACTTGCCGGTAAAGAGTGGGGTTAAAGTAGATGCAGCATGGTTCACCGTCGATGTCCTAAGTCAAAGGGACGCGTCTGGGTGTGGTCATGTCTGCGCAGGTTTACGTGGAGTCTTAGGTTCAATTAGGAGAGCCTATTGAGAGAAAAAAAAATGAATGTCAACATTCATCTATACACAAATATGATGTTTATAAACAAGCCCGCGTTCGCCCACACAAGGCATGGGCACTGCGCGTGCGCAGAAACGAGATCCCCGTGAAGCGACTGTGCAAGCTGCCGTAAAGAGCCTGTATTACAGAGAGTTCCCAACTGGTCAATCGGGGTCACGTGGTCCACGGGCGGCGTTTGCGATACGAGCCGCGAAGAGGTGGCGAAGGCGTTGATCGTCTGCAAACGCCTCCGCCTTTCCTCCTGCTTTTCACCTCACCACGCGAAAACGAAGCACATGCGCACTTGCGACCGATCGCCGCAGAAGGTTTACTCCACTAAATTCCGAACGCTCCCCATGGTTTGAGGTGGATCCTATCTACAATTTAGGCTCCCTAGTGCGCGGTGCCGACAGCAGCGCCACCTCAGTAGTGTGTCGTCAGAGTTATATACATGGCTTGTTCTGATGCCATATCGCGTACTTGTGACCTTTACCACGGAGAAAGGAGGAAGCTACTTTTGGTAGAAATTTGGAGCCACGGGTTAATCTTTTATAAACTTCTGGAAGGAGGTACCGACGTCTGGGCAAATCTGGGAGACACAAAGGAGGTTCCTGGTAAGAGGACAGCTCATTCTTCCCCTCTTCTCTGGTGGCCATCGGAGCGCTCTTTGGATGATGTCATGTGCAAGCCACGTGTACTTCCTGACAGCGTAAGGAATGCAAAGCGGGGCCTACGCGGAGCGGAAGTTCGTCTGGTCCTTGCGCTTGAGATTACGGTGACTTCCGAACGCCGACCTCTTGTTGGCTCCGATGGGAAGGATAGCGGGTAAACATTAAGGCAGCTAGCATCGAAGTCTTCCGAATAAACTTCAGTCAGAGCTCGGCGTTTTGACGTCGCTGCCACACCTGGGCAAGAAGCAGACGAGCTTGAGCTCCGCCTTAGGTTCACAGTTCCTGCTTCGTGGTTTGTTCTTAGGCACCCTTATACACTAATATACTACAATCTCATTGGCTCTGAAGCTATAATAAAATGATTGGCCATTGTTACATCATGCCTTTCTTGATTCCTTACCGCAGGAAAAAAAAAGTCTCCTAGAAGGCGATCTCCTTAAGAAAATTGTTTTGCCGCAAATTTCGACACAATACTTCTTTTCACCGCAGGAAACATGCTTTAAAAAATCCTTCCCCTCAAGCAGAAGTACTGATTTCGCCCTTTACGGAGCTTCTTAGATTTGTTTAAAAAAAGGGCCGGGAAATCCACACTAACGCGGTTTGTACAGGTGTGTTATACGGTCAGGAGGACATAATATAGGGGGATAATCGTCACTATATCTTGAATAATTAACTAGATGCGTTAATTAATTTGTAATTATTAATTATAGACGCAGAGGTTCAATTGGAAAGTTGAAGAGCTTTATCGAAAATGACTGTGTCAGGAATTCTTAGAAAGACTTTGAGCGCGTGGGAAGCAGAGTAGTACGTCAAATTTACCACTCGTATAACAGGCACAAGGCTGGGTGCTATGACAATGGACGGAAAAATCGCGCGGGCGTGTTATCGCACCGGTAGCCCTTCTCCTGCTGCATGGGCGGGTGCGCTGCCGAGCACAATGAGCTTAAACACGCAATCGCAAATATACGGTAGTGCTACTCGAAAAAATACGTGGACAGGAAGGTATACACGAAACCCGAAACGTCGTGTATACCTTCCTGTCCACGTATTTTTTCGAGTAGCACAACCATATATTTGCGATTTCGTGCATGAATGGTAACTTTATCACCCCAGCGTGCTTCACACGTGCCCCAAGGTTTGTTACTAATGACTGACTTATACCTGAGACAGATGGGCACCTAAAAGGACCTTCACGCCTGTATAGAAAGACAGGCGAAAAGCGACTGCGTCTGACGAATTCCAAAAATCGAACTCATCCGGCTCTTTTATTCCACGCTATCCGCAGGCCGAGTTTTAAGAATATGGTACATTTCAGAAACGAGCAGGGCCCCTCTAATTCTGTGTACAAGTGGAATAGTCCCGAAAAGATGAAATCTTATTTCCGAAGCCGGATGTGTAATCTTGTTCACCCGAGTCCTTGCAAAGGAACTCATAAAACCGTGAATGCTTTGAGGCAGATCCAGGTGGAAGACTCAACGCACTCAATTAGCGCCAGACCTTGCACCACAACTGCCAAAGCCAGACGACCCCCCAAACCCTTGCTTACCGGAGTTGTGGTGCAAGGTCGGGTGCTACGTGAGTACGGTAAGGGAGGCCTTCCCGCCAAAGGCCTTTTGGATTTTCAAATGACTTTTACGTGCTGCTGTGCCAGACAGCGCAAGTAAATGCCATTTAGACGACGTTTACTGCGATTGAAGTCTCGTAGCTCGGTTCAAACGCATAAATAAAGTTCACGCCAGAAAAATAATGTTTCGGCAGTATAGATATTTTAGAAGCGCAGCTCTTAGGGGCCCGTTTCCGGCTCGAGCAGCGTCGCCGTCGGCGTAACCGTGAGGTCACGCAACACCTCCTAGAGAAGAAGGCCAGAGCGCTCTGAGAGGTTACGTCACAATGGCGGAGGAAGGAAGTCCATGGCGCAACTACGTGAGAATACGCTATCGACGTGAAAAAGTGTACCTCGGCGCGGTGGTGTTCATGCGCGTTTATCCGGCATTAATGTACGTTTTAAAGGCGCAGTCTTGTACAATTTATTATATATATAATATAAACGTAATATACAACGCGTTACCAAGGTTGAGAGTACCAAATTTATATTTATGAGTATCCCCGTAACCGCGGGACTACGTGCAGTTCCGCAGCACCCCACACTTTTCGAAAGGACCGGCTGCGATGCTGCCGATGCCACATGGCTCCGATTCTGGTAAACTTACGTTGTGTGTGAGCTGCTGACTGTCTGAAAAGGAACGCTGGGACATCTCAGAAGGGAAGGATACCGGAAAGAAATCCAGTCATTGTCGCAGGGAGCGCACACGAGCGAGAGATGGGTCGACAACGTCAAGCCTTTCGTCGCCGCTGCTCTCGTGTGTGGTACTTTTGAGACTTGTTTCCCGTCGTATTTCTGTCATCACCGTAGTCTCGGGTAGTTTTTTTGTGTTCGCTTAATACTACGGCATTTACGTGGATTCGTGAAACAAGTCCTGCTTCGTTTTGAGTGACATGTGTGACAACTAGCCAACGAAGACTGGTCGATTAATCGATAGACCTCTCTCCACAGAGAGAGGCTTCTTGGAGTTCGTGTTTAAATGTGTACGTCACGGATATTGTGGGACGTATGGATACGATCGACAGGGGAGAAACAACTTATTTACGGGCTTTCTTGGTCATGTAGGACGCAAATAAGATGTTGCAATTTTTTTTTTTAATCGCGTGATAGATTGCAGTTTTGTTCTTTGTCATGATTCGTGTGCAGTTGCGTCGACATTTGTAAATATGCGCGCTAATCTAGTTTTCACTGGAAGGCGAAAAACAAGTTTGTGTTATTATTGAAAGTGCGTTGTTCGTGGTTCTGTGTTTATTTATACTAAAGTTATTTTATTGCCTTTTCCGCGTTTATACTAGAATCTTAACTGTATTAAGGTAATAGTATTATTATATACAAAATAAGTTATGTGTTGTTCTAAGGCAGCTCGAGCCCCATAGGGAGAAGTAAATTAGTAGACTAAGTAGTAAGTTTAGTACCCCTGCCACACGGAAAAGTTAATATATTTTCATTCAGTAATATAGAATTTAATCAGCTCGCGGTCTTGAGTGGTTATACGAGCGCCGCAAGCGGATTTGTCGACCCCACAATGCCATTCGATCGAAATTGCATTAATTTTGCCATGTGGCCGGGGTATGATGCAAGAATTCAGTGACTGCACGCGATAACGTCGCTTACATGATCGAGATAAACACTTGTCTTGCCTTGTCCGCGTTGACTACGTCTACCTGATTTTTAACTGTTCTGTTTTGCTGTTTCCAAATCACTGCGTGTCTCGCCCTTTTGTTGAAGTATTTCTGTATAAAATATGCATTCCTACAACAATAATTGCATGACTCAATGTTTTCGACTTAAAACAATCACATTTTTCTATAGACGTCTTGTACGCATACCTCGTGCCATTTCGTACCGATTATTTAGCGGTGTAATATTTTGCTCGTGTAATAAAATGTTTCCTAGACCCGTTGCTAAGTGCATCTTTCATTTTAGCTAATATTGCCGCGCCCAGGGCTGAGAAAGCAACGCTCGGTCACGGACCTCCAGAAAGTTCTCGTTTATTCATGTACCGCATGTAACTTTATCATTTATTCCTGCTTTTGTTTTCTAGAAAGTGCGTGTTCATTCTCGCCCGATCACGCGACGCTCGAGCTGCTTTCGCCGAATCTTCGAGATAGCGACGCACTCTAGATAAGAGGCCGCCCGCGACCTTGTCGAGTCAGTCTCGCCCCAGCGCTCGATCCTGCTGACACGCCGACTTCGACGCCCGCGACGCTCTGCTTTCTTCTGTTTCCTTCTTTATTTTTGGCACAAGTTCGCCACATTAAACGTTTATTTATTTCTGTTTATTTCTTGTTTATTGGTCACGACTCACCACCCGTGACATTCTGGTGGAGGTGCGGGGTACCGCATGTCAGATCAGCGCAGCCCTCCGAGTTCCCGCAGTACAAGTCCAAACCCCAGCTCCGGAGGACCCGACGAAGACCAGATCGAGACCCGGTCAAGTCGCCGCATCCGAGGTCTACCCCCGGAACACGGACTTCTGCCACCCACGACCAAGCCGAAGACGACGATGGCCAACCAGGCGCAGACCCCGGCCGCTTCTGCCGTTGTGTACCTGCCGATCGCACCCAGGACTCCAACGCCTTTCCACGGAGACGTCCACGAGGACGTTGAAGACTGGCTACAACACTACGAACGTGTAGCCCGCCACAACGGATGGACGACTGAACAATACCTTCACAATCTCTACTTCGCGCTTGAAGGAACTGC